GGGGGGGACGGACGGGGGACGGGGATGCAGAGTCTATAGCATTAACCTATACGCTTTTGGTTATTGGCTCATCGACTACACTATTATATCCCTAGTCCCTACATCACGACTAACCTGAGGCAAGGATCATGGCAGTTTCAGAAGAGCTCAGTTTTGGGGTGCACAAGCTCCCCCTGCTATTCAGAGCCCCCTCCTGGATTAAAGGCAGACCCTTCTTGCTCTCTCCTCTAGAGGGGAGGCTAGGAAGGCTCCCCGCAGCTCTGCCTCCAGTTTTAAACGCTGCCTCCAAAAGAGAGTGGAAGGCAGAGGGGGAGGAGGGGCAGAGAAAAAGTGGGGAGGGGGCACAGCGAGGGGAGGTGGTGAAAATGAGTTTCTGACCCCAGTGCGGCAGCGTGGAAGATGACAGCGGAATTGGGCTGCTGTCTCTTTAAGCAGCTGCCAGATGTCTCCTCGTGGCTGGAAAAACCAGTTTGCACACTTGGGTTTGCTGAGTGGAGGCCAAGCTCCCCAGCGGCACTCCAACTATTCCTGGAGAAATCCAAAAAATGCACCCACTTTGGAATGCCCGCACTCCCCAGCCTCTAGGCCCTGGGCTAGCAGGGCCTCGCCGGGCAGCATGACTGAGGAGCGAGGCTGCAAGGCGGTGTAATGAAGCACATCCGTCTAGGTGGCCCAAATCTTGGGAGCAGGGGTGGGGAGAAGTCTTGCTTTGCTGCAGGAAGACTGGAGAACGAGGGGAGAGGTGTGGAGAGCTAGCATAACCCACGTAAGGGAAGGGAGCAGACCATGGAAAGATCAATGCTTAGAGAAGAACTTGAAAGCAGAATCAGCTGGCAAATGCACGCCGTGTGCTAACAACTACGCCCCTCCCGAAGTGGCTGCATGTCGTGGGTGCGCTGTACACAACTGGTAAGGTGCATTGTAACTAGAGAGAGGGGTCAGGCGTTAACTCAGCAGCCTGCAATTCCCTCCTGCTCTGTGCCGATTCCTGAAGAAATGGTGCAAAGACACACCGGCCAATTCTGATCAGGTATAAGAGGTGTGTCCAGTTTCTCAGACTACGATCTATATATAACTATCCTAAATCCTTAGCCCTTCCCTAGCCTCCTCCCAAGTTTTCTGAGTGCTCCACAGAGACAAACACAGTAAGTGTGAGGTATTTTCCCTATTAGAAGGATGGGGAAACCGAGGCAGAGTCGACGGCAGTGCTGGGAGCAGAACCCACCCCTCCTGAAGCTTAGTCTCACTTTAATCACTATTAGACAGGTCCTCCCTTCAGGCTCCACCTCCATGAGTAACCCTCTGAGGTCATAACGCAGTGTTTAACACACAGTCCATCCCCATGGAGACAGGTCTGAGGTCACAAAATACTAGGTTGTGACATCACAGGAGGACTCAGCCAGGAGCAGAGGAGACAAGTCGTGTTTACGCACAACCCTAGTCAGCAGAAGCAAGGGAGGTAGAGAAAACCCAAAACAGTCTGAGGGGGTCTAATTCCAATTCGTTAGGAAGGCCCCACTCCACCTGCACAGGGCCCCTCTTTCAATGCACTGGGCAGAGTGGCCCATCCTGAAACACGGTGCCACTCCTAGCAGCTCCCTGGGTGTCTCTGGAGGTTTTCTTCCAAGCACGGAGCAAGCCCAACCGTGTGTTTAGCGGTTGGGACCTGAAGACTGGGTCTGACTTCCTTTTAGTGCTGGAGAATGGCCCTAGACTAACAGCCCTAAAGACTGTTAAAGTTTCAATAGTCTCGCTGCTGACAACATCCACAAAGGTGCCCATTACAAAGGTGAGGTGTTAATGTGGGCTGAGTCACCCAGCTCACCGCACAAAGACACACACCCCCCACCCCGCCACCAACCTGGGCGGAACTACAGCTGCGGGCCTGTCCTTGGTGCAGTCTCTCTCGGCAATCACTTGTCTAGCCTGTCACGTCAGAAAAGCTAAAACTGGAGCGTAGGTGCCACATCCTGACCCACTGAACCATCCATGGGTTTGTGACCCCACTGGGGTCCTGTATTCAGAGGCTTCCTGCTTCCAGCTGAAGACAATACACTGACTTGAGCCACACTTGCCCATCTTATCACACAAATAAGGCATTCAAGTAGAACCCAAGAGGTGATGGGCCCTGGGCCCCAGAACCATCAGCGGGTGCAGACTTCCCTTGGCCAGATCCTGTACCGACCAGGAGAATGTTATAGGGGGGACACCAAGACAAATCTATGACTCTGTTGAATGAATGTGGCCCATTGGGCTGGAAATAGAATTGGAGAAGCTTCTACCAGGGATGTGGGGGAAGGAGAGAGCTTCAGGAACACACAATTAGTGTCTCTCAGGGCAAAAGGCCTCAAAAATTCAGAGCCGGGGAAGTCCACTGAAATTCAGAGCTTGGTGAAGTCCCCCGAGATGGGGGACTTCACCAAGCCGTGATTTGAAAACACAAGCTCAAAGGCCGCGCCGAGGGAGTCTCGGAAGTGTTTAGCTTGTGACCTGCACGAGAGGCCAGATGCACAAGCTTTCACGCCCAGCCCCAGGCGTGTGGACTCCCTGTGCAGAGCCTCTCTCAGCCTGCAATTCACCAAACCAGTCAGGCAGGCAAAGCAGAGAGAGGCAGGGAGCGAAAGAAAGAGGGAGGGAGAGATGTCACAGAGGGAGGGACAGAGACTGGGGGAGTGCAAGGCAATTTCAGCATGGGGAACAGAGTTCAGG